TGTTTTTTTCGTATATTATTAAACATATATGTAAGTAGTAAATTGCAGATATTTAAATTATAATTGAAAAGTTTATGTATGTATATATATATATATATATATTAAGTTATCGACACTATGCGAAAAGTATTTAAACTACTAAGTATTAGGGATGCAAAAGAACCTTAGCAGTATGTATATTTTGTTATTTTATCCTCAAAAAGTGGGACTCATTTATCTTCCTTTTTTCATTTCCTTTATTTTTGTTTCTCACAAAATCCACGAAAAAGGTTTTACGCTTATAAATCATACCATCTAATTTAATTTATTTTCCCTAGATATGATAATTGAAGATGTGGGTTAGAACTTTCGTACTCATACAAGATGTAAATATCTATATTCGGGAAAAAATGTTTCACGACAATGTTTGATAATCCTGAATTCGTAAATACAAGACACTTTGCGTACTATGTAACTTCGTTGATTGAAAGGTAGAGTTAATACCTTTCAATCAACGAAGTTACATAGTATACAAATTAAGGTAAGTATATATATTACACAACCTTTTTAGTTTAAGATCACATAGAGGTAAGGTGCTGTATTCATAGATACAAAGAAAATGAAAGGAAATCTTTACCAAACGTCAGTTGATGTCAAGCTGATACATATAAATAGGCTAAATAGCTTATCTACATGCAGCTATAGCTATATTATATAGAATATTTGACGTCCTCGGCGATATAGCGGTTTAGCACACCGCTTTACTTCCGATGGTCGCGGGTTCGATTCCACGCACGGTGCAATATTAGTATTCATGACATTTCAAAAAAATATCAAAGTATTTATATCAGTTATCTAGTAACCATAACAGAAGCTCTGTTTACCGTACGACTAGATGACTGGATGGATGGATGTGTTAATTGGGTTATTTATTTATCATAATCAGCTCTCTGCATTTGAAAAGCAAAGTTGTTTCATGCAATTATAATCTAACTCCGAGTCAATTATTAACATTCGTAACCTCAGAGATTTTAGTTTCTGCGTATTAGCTACAATTATCCAAGTAAGCAACAATCAAGCATTAAACATGCTCAATAATTTATTAGTTGCTATTAACGCCTTTAGTTAGACGTTTTATAGCAGAAGATATACCATAAAGGAAGGCAGAAGAATAGCCGTCATTCCTGTCTAAACAACGGGGCAATACACACAAATTGCGCTGTAAAATAAATTAAAGCAGTCTCATTAACGGGCCCGTTCGGTGCTTACATTATGTAATTAATTACATTTGAAAATGTAAGTAAAGCTCGTCCCATATTTTAGTTGAGGATTTTCAGATTACTTTTTGTCAGGGCGGAACAAATGACCGTTTTCGGACAATGCCTTATTTTATCCAAATTAGCTAAAATAATTCTAATGTTTCTCTGTTCTTTGTTATATGCAAAATAATAAAATACAACGTAAGAGCCAAACCTAAAAATGAAAGTAATTATTTACATTTAATATCCGTACTCCACGAATGTATTAAATTGGAGAAAGAAGATAATCACAACTATTTTAATATATTAAACATTTTATCTATATTCAATAATGTAAAAGTGTATAAATAAATAAATAAAGGTGAGTTAACTTACTTAAAATTAAAATTATTTTATTTCTAGCAACTGGACTCCTCTAACTAATTCAATAAAAATAATAATAAATACAAATGTTTTTTATTTTTTTTTTAATTTTCTTATACTACTACTGCATCTGTCGGTTGGTATTTTTGACAATCCTGTAATGTTAATATCTACAATAGTTTCGATAATTCTATTTTACTTTAATGTAATTAAAAATATATTTTACTTACTTTATATGTCAAGTGGTCATTCCTTTTTGTATAAATTTAATAACGATTGTTAAAGTGTGTCTAGTCGAGTAACTTAAATTATTTGAAAACTTTTCGAAGTACTCACTTGTCTGAGTTCTCCAAAATTTTGACATTAAATGGAAACTTGAAATTTGAAGTTTGCGTAATAAAATATTAAGGAAGACATAATGTCCTATGTAAAATGAGAACAATGAAAAACAGTAAAGTTTATTCAAGATATTGCAGTCATTTAAAATTCCATGTTTCTAGTCCAGTGGTTTGATGTGGTTTGATGTACTTTGATAGATCAGTTAGTCAGAACTCATTTTATTTCATTGTTTACAGTTTATATGGTTTTTCTATACTTCTAAAAAAACTAGGCGTTCCTATATAGTATATTTCGGCGCTATTGCTCAGACATTATAATACTATTTACACGTATAGGATTAAGTTATAATTTTAGAAAATATTGAAAATAATATCAATGCTTGATAATATATTTATAAATACAAGTACCTACATCAATGTGGCTAAGATGCTGGCAGTGATTTTCCCTCTCCTTAAAAAAACATTAATTTGAGTCCAAGAATATGTATGTATTATTCTAGTTTTTAATCGTGGGTAATAAGGAAATGGAAAAATAAATACTTTCTAATTAATTATAACAAATTTTAATTTCGTTGACGGCCTTACTATTTACATAAATTTTCTTAAGAAATATAATTTTAATTAGTAATTTGGCTATCCTCATTATTAAAACCTTATTTGTCTTCATCCAGTGAGATAACATTATATAGAATTCGGTAAAATATTACACATTTTATGTAAACTTATTACATGGTTTGATAAAGATAACATAAATAATAATAGGTCTGTTAAATAAATTAAACTTAGTCTAATTTGTTACTTTCATTATAAATTCCACTTACTATTTTATTAGACCATCTCTATGAGTATAATTTAATTTAGTGACAATTAAAATCATGTTCAAGTTTTCATTGTATACTTTATGTTTCAATTACAGATATAAACAAATTTAATTTATGATATGGTAATTTTTATAGATTATTTGTACAAAAAATATCTGGTTAACACTTCCATAAAAAATACTTGACTGGTTTGTAAGAAATTCCTCCAATAGAATACGTCCGCCATTGTGCTTTAATTACCTTTAATTAGCTTTTGTATCCTTTAATATACGTCTTAAATACTGTTCAATATAGAATTCAAACAAACGAAATAACTAACAAAGAAAAATAATAATTATTTTTCGTAACATATACTGATGTTACAAATTTATAATTATTTCTAGGACTTTTAATACTTAAGAAATTTTGGATTATACTATTACGTTTAAAAAAAGAAATTATCTACGTAAATAATATCAATAGTACTTGTATGAGTGTACGATTTGGTAATAAAATCTCATTACAAATGATTTGTAGCATATTTGAACATAAATAAACACGAATTTTCAATATAGCATTTAAAATTGAAAAAGTAAATATAGGGCCGTCAGATATGAAAGTAAAAACAAGAGATGAAATTATTCATTCATTCAACAGCCGTATAATTTTCATTAATGAAACCCTGAATATTTATGTCACCCCGTTTCTAGCGCGATCCTCGTATTCTATATCACTCTGTGTTATACATGCTATCTACATAGTAATACACAACATGACATCATCTATTATTTATTATTTCAATTGTAAATAAAATTTGTATGGTACCAACATGATTAATATATTATTATAGTGTGACGTGACGTATTTGTTTACTAATCAGATGATATATATACATATAACTTAATTATACAACAACGAACCTAAAATTAAAATATAATATATTAACTAAAATATATTATTAAAAGGAGGCCTATTAGGCAAGGTTCCGAAGATACTGGCAGCGTTCCCCCTTTGAATTACTAGACTAATTCTTTGTCCGAGGTAACTTCGGTCTTCTGTGATGTCGACTAACCTTTTTTTATTATTTATATTTACTCGTTATGCTCGTGAACGGGTGCTGCTTGTTTTGTTACTCGAGTAACTATTACATTAATTTATTTTTGTCAATCTAACTATTTGGCAGTTCATGTTTACATAAATTCTTAAATATGTAATGCTGAATAATATTTATTTAAAAGAGGAACACACAAGTTACTTGCTCATTCTACTTGAGATGATTCAAAAGTTATTAAGTTTATTATAATAAATAATGTATAGTATATACTTCTGTTATGTTTTATAATAAATAAATGTATAAATAATCTGAATATTTACAGTAATGCTACTAAGAATATTGTTACTATTATTACAGGTATAAAATTGTGTGATATGTATGAAATTAGATTGGGTGCGGTATCAGATTTTATTTCGGCTCTTTCTTGCAGGTTTTCAATTTCTAAATTAAAAAAGATACTACTTCTAACCAAAGTGGAAAATAAATATTACATACTTTATTGTAGTGACGTTTTTAATATTACCATTTACAATTATCATTTAATATAGAATTAAGTTAAATGTATATTTTCATAGAAATGTCGATTATGTACCAAAGTTAAATTACAATAATGGCGGCAGTTGACAATGCTTCTGACTAACTCATCTGGGGTTGTAGTAGTGTGGATATTTAATTTTATAGTTTTAATTGGGATTATTCAGTATTTCCTTATTAATTTTGGTATTTTCTATCAACACTATTTCTGACACTATAAAACTATCTATGGAACACAATTCTTAAAATTGTAAAATCATTTATGTTATATCATTAAGATATACAGTCTCTTATATATTAAATATATTTACGATATAATCTGTTAATTCAGATATTATTTCCCGTTGGTTTATCTGTAACAAACTATATATATATATATAATATAATTAATGAGTAAAATAGTAGCAATTACAATACAGAGCATAAAGGAAAAAAAAAGGGAGAATTATTTCGTAATCGCCAAAACGTAATAGTAATTTATTAAAAAAGTTCCAAAGGCAGAATAAATAAGATACATTTTAATTTTATCTGACATAATACTGATAGTTACAACAAAAACAACTAAAATAAAATCGATGTAGCTAATTATATTAAAATGTTATATTTTAGTTTACTTAAACAAATGAAATTTGTTCTTAATTATTTATATTATATCTAATATTTACAGGACTGTTAATAATATAATTAATGAATTCGTAATCCTTTAAATTATTACATTTTTATCTAAAGAATATTTACATTTTATATTGACATCGTTGCTAATTATTTTATTTTCAATAAAACTATAATGTCTGTGTGTTCAGGTACCGAATTCTAAGTCATTGTATGTAGATTTACTGAAAATGTAAACAAACACAATTGAAAAAAATATTGAGGCTTTGTCTAATGAGGATGTTGCACATCCTTGCTGCATAGCTGCTGGATGTTCACCTAAAAACAAGAAAAACTTATTAAACTGTATCGTAAGTAATAAGTATATAAAACGCGAATTTCCGTTTCTTCATTCATTGCACTTATCATAATATTTTAATCAATCGTCATGACTTTTCCTTGTAAAGGATAGTCACATATGAGCACCAGAATAAAGTCATATATCATTTTGAGCTTTCGCTTCTGGTTCTTTTGCATTAAAAATAAAAAAAACAAATATTTCATTTCCATTACTATTCGTGCGAGTAACGACAAGTATTTTAAATTTCGAACTGACCGCATTTTCTGAATTGCACAGTGTCGGACGAACAACCGACTATCCGGTTGTTCGTCCGACACTGTGCAATTCACGGACGGTTGGATGGACGGATGAATGTATCATAAGGGTTCTGTAATACCTTTTTGGTTTGAACCGTAACACAGTTATAGCCTTACCCGATAAAACATGCACTCTAGTGGATGCGGACGGCGCGTTATTAGGGCCACAAGTGTACACTCCCGCATCTAAACCCGTTGCCCGCTGCACAAGTAGTCTGCTTGTACTTCTGAGACCTTTTTCTGTCACAAGCGATATCCCGCCGCGTGCCGAATCGAAGTTTATTACCTGGTGGTGCGAAACAAGAATTTTACTTGTGTAGGTTTGTTATTAAGAGTTTTATGTAAATCATTGTTTTTGTACTGGCAATACAATGAAGAAGAAAACACTGGGACAGAGATTAATAGATTTAGCCTACACTGACGTAAAATATTGAAAACAAAGGGTAAAGCGATTATTATAGACGTTAGACAAAAGTAAAATAAATGAAAGGAAATGTAAACATTATAATATAATAATAGTGCAAAACATACAAAAGCATAAATATAAGGACCAAGACAAATTATCGGAGATATTTTTCACTTCGAAATCAATATTATATTTGTTACGTTATATTGGTAACAGGATATTTATCACGGTTATATTATTTTGTTCCCAATACTTCGACATCGTTACAAATATTAGGCACTATTTATATAGATTTCTTAGTCTTTTTTATAATAACATATACTGTATTACGATAAAACAAAATTACTGTAATAACTTGTTGTTTGTAATAAATATTTATATATATATATATATTCTAAGATGATTGTAATAGAGCCAAAACATAGTGTTTAAACAAGTCGTAAACGGTAAATATTCCATAGCACGATACATAAACCACTACTAGAATTTACATGGATTCATATTTATCTGCTAAGAAAGTTAGGTTCTAAAGCAATATCTACATAAAATAACAGTTACATAATTTAAAATTCATATTTGCAGGAAACTTATATAATTTCGTTACTTTGACAACTCGGTTAGCTGAACGCTTATTATACTGTAAAACGCAGTCAGCTGTTCGCATATGCATTTTACAGAACATAGTCGACTACAGAATTCAGAGAAATACTATGAAACCTATGTGAATATCTCTCTCCGTTTCTCTCTGTAGATGCTCGTCTCTTTCACACCCTTATAAGAATTCTAGGTTTTTAAAATCTGTTATTTTTTTTATAAAAGCACGGTATTTCAGATTTTAATGGATAACCTTTGCTCGCATATATACGTAAATATCACGGATATAATATCGCGTCATATGATACGTGGTACATGGCAACTCCAGACAACCATGGCGATATATGTACTTTCAAATCCTGTATTACACTTGACCATATCAATGCTCACAAAACGGACTGCTCGGCGGCTGTAACAAATACCTATGAGTACGTAGTTACGCAGATGATATCTATACAAACCTATAATCATATATGAGACAATGCAATAACATCTAATTTCGTAGAGAACAAATTCAAAGATACAGTATACGATACAAAAAAGATTTGTCACTTTTAAAAATATCGTACAAAGTATCTAAACATCTGGATAACCTCAAAACTCAAACTTATTTATTCATATAGACTTTTCGATCTCTTATACACGTCTTATTTTCTATCACTATTCCTACCATCCAGTACAGACGTAATATATAATACGTAACGGATCAGATAAGAAAAACCCCGTGCTTACAATCGGGCGTTGCAAATCTAACTGGTCTTGGATAATTAAAATGAAATTGTCTGTCCAAGTCATTTGTTACGTAAATCACACTCAGACCGCTTAATCGATTGAATCCAACGAATTGCCGCTCTCGTACACCTTTAAGGATTTAATCCACCTTAATCCGGGTATTTCCGGATTTGTAACCATTCACGATTAGGTGATTTCTGTAAGTTATGTTTGGCTTTCAGAAATTATAATTTTCATAATTCATATGAGTATTAATAAATAATAATATTTCGTTCATTTACTTTTGTGTAATTGCATAATTTATTTAACATATGTCTACATATGTAGTCTATAATTGTTATATTAACGTAGTAATGATGTTGTATTTTTTTATATCCCATGCTTTTATATAAATGAACCCAATAGAATAATATCAGAATCAAAAGCATTTTTGTTGTGAATGTAAGTACTAGTAGTATTGAATTGAGAAATATGGAAAATTGAGAAAAATGCTGCCACTCTTTAAAATAGAGTTACATGTATACATAATAAATATGTGAAAATAAATTAAATTACCAAACAGCACAAAATGATAAATATTATACATACAATTACGGCTATAAAAGTCGTACACCTGCAGTTTTTACTTAAGTATATTATATTATTAATTAAATCACATACGGAATAAAATGTATTTTAATATTTGTATGATTGTGTACGTATTATTAAGTTATTACGTTATTATATTTTACCTATGTAAATACGTACATAACAACATAATTTAAATGATTTTTTTTAATGTTATTATAATAACATAAGATTATTCTTATAGGGTCATCTAGTCGCAAACTAAGCAGAGCTTGTACTTGGGGTACTAAACAATTGTAAGAAATATTTATTATACATATATATATAGAAAATACCCAGACCAATACAAACTACAATTGTTTGTGTCGTATGACTAGTAGTACAGATAACATAATATTACATACTAGTAGTAAGGAACCAAGGGCTAAACCGCTATACTACTGAGGGCGTATAAGGTAAAGGAAGTCTTTATCACTAATACCTGATCTCCATGAGTCCAAGTAATAGATGTAGGTGGTTCTGGCGTATGTCGAACTGTGCACGTCAGATTTATAGTTGATCCAGCTTGTATGAATAGTTCCGAACCACTGGATATCACCGTCTCTGGCTCTAAAAATAGAAATATAATTAATATAACCGTAGTAATAAATTGTTTAGTAGATATTTCTGTCAATTAAGGAATGCACATATAAATTAAGTATTTTACTTTAATTTTTTTATTAATTATTTTTTCATAATTATCTTGAAGATAATGTTAGATTTACATTTAGAGAAGACATTAACATTATTTAAGGACGTTGAAGGTATAGTAGATTTACATATCGTTTTACTTAGGTTTTTATTCCACTTCTACACTAAATCATCATTACATTTGTTTGTACATTCTTGAGTGATTTTCTTTAATTATATTTAAAAATAATTTAAGTATATCTTTTAATGGTAGGTATAGCACAATGTCTGGATTATTTATAATTTACACAAATAGTAGATTTAATCTCAAAATTCTTGCAACAGTAATTTCGATGACTCTATTACACTTGACTGCTTTTCTTAGTCATATTAGTACTGTTTTATTCGCTCATGTGGTTTTCCAATATTATATCATTTGTAATATATAATTCAATCTGATATAAATGCTAGAACATTGGTAATTGTTTGTAAAAATAAATATTCTTATTATTACATCATACGCTTAAAGCAATACTGTAATAATTGAAATATAAAATAAAAATTGAAACTACACTTGAAAATTAAAGTATTTAATGTATCTTCTAGTATTTGTAAAATTTGAGTTAATAAAGTAATGTATTAAGGTTGCGATATATCCAGAACTATCTTGATATCGACGGCATAGTGTACTTAGTGGACAGTCCTATTGAATGGACTGCCATTTATCTCCATCCTGACAAATTTCCTTCGTTCCTGTACAGTCATCAATCTTTTCTACACATATGAAAAGCAAACAAATAGTGAGATGAAAAAATCAATGACGTTGTTTTAGGAAGATAAAACGGACGCCATAGCTTTTCCCGAACTGTAAATCAATTATATTTCATCCACATAAGCCATATTTATCTATCAGCTTCCTTATGGTATTTACCGTTAAAGATAAAAATGGAATTAGTTATGTACCTACGTGTACTCTATATTAGAAAAAAATATATACGTAATTAATTTATATATATACCGTTATATCTATGATCCGAGATTGGTTAGTCAGAGGATTATTTTTTTAATAATAATAACTAGGCTATTTAAATTCCAGGCTGTTACATACACTACTTATTTACTATAGAATATAGGAGTACTTTGAAACTAGAAATTACACTAGGTTTTATATAGGATTACTAGCTGTCCCGGCAAACGTTGTTGTGCCTTAAAATAAAAATAAATAATTTAGGGGTGGACTACCCCTAATATTTAGAGGGATGAAAAATAAATGTTGACCGATTCTCATTCCTACTCAATACGCTCACAAAATTTCATGAGAATCGATCAAGCCGTTTCGGAGAAGTATGGCAACGAAAACTGAGTAAGTAAATAAGATATGAGATTTTTATTTTTATGTTTTTAATACATTTTTTACTTATTATAATATTTCTTGTTACTAATGATTATTCTATTCCTATTTGCTATTTGCTTAGTTACATGTTATCTGTCGTATAACCACTATACAGTAGTATCGTCAACTGTTGAAGTCGTCTTGAACGCATCAGTTATCATACCCACATTTCAGTATGTTCATCAGTATCCAAGATGGCAGGGGGCGAGCCTACCGCCGTCACGGATCATTTTTAATGGGATATGGATAACATTCGACGTACAGCCTTCATTGCATCTTCAACTATCGTCCAATCTATATACTTATCATTTTGTACCAATAGCCTATACATTTTTTCAGAAATGGTAGAAGCTAGAAATATTGTTCTTTATTCTGGTATGAATGAAGTAAACAATATAAAATATTAATATTGCTCATCCTTCCCGATAGCAAACGCTTTATTTATAGAAATAAGGTTCAATAACGGTTATAAGCTAGGAATATTAGACTATCTTCATTCTTTGATAAAAGGTAAATGAACCAATCTAATATCGACCCTAATACTCTCGGGAATAATGCCACAACTACATTAATAAAATAAATTTCGTAAACTCACCTACGATATTGAGATATACAGCGTGGCCAATGGGCGGAGTGGTGGAGATCTGGCACTCGTATTGCCCGGAGTCACGCCGCTGTGGACTGCGTATCCTCAGCGCCCATTCCTCCGAGCGAGGCTTGTGCTGCGCCTCGAAACGCTGATCAGAAGTGTACGTATACCGACCGACGGTCAGTAAGTGGATGTCACGATGTCTCACCCATGATACCTGGGAAAACAGATGATTTATAGAAGCAATATATATTAATGAACATGAACACTTTAATAAATTGTGAGATTTTATTTCAAATATAAGCGTATTAATATACTTTAAGTTTCATTATTATTAAACGAATAATCATACTAATATTTATAAAAAGTGTTTCTATTTATCTGTAAGGTCACCTTTTTACCTTATATGTCTGTGCTAATTTAAGTTTAAAGTAAAAAAAACAGACGAAATTGTAGGAACCGGTTAGTTAATATTATAAACAGAAATTAGTCATACTAATGTTTGTTACATTTTCTTGCAAAAACTACTAGTCAATTCCAATACAATTCATAACATATATAAATCATATCTCAGATTAATAAGTAGGATACATTTTACCACAAATTACGGGGGCACCGCTGTGGGATACAGTTAGTGAAGAAAATGAAAAAGTAAAGCAGTACCTATTTGTCTCATTCGTTCATAATTTAAGAGCTGCGCTCTCGTCGGCGAAGCTGTTGCCACATGTGTGTTAGGGAAATGGGGATTAGAGAACCCACCATATAAAATTCTTTAACAAATGGAGTATTTAACACAAATTTGTTTTGTAACTTAATTATATTGACCCAATAATCTATACATATAAATAAAATTAAAGTGTCTTTTTGTAATATTGAAATAACCGTTTTTTACTACATGCATATGAGTATGAATACTGTACATACATCAAATTATTTTTTTTACTATTTTTGTCTGTATTCTGTCTGTTTGTTCCGGCTAATCTTTGAAATGGCTAGACCGATTTTGACGGGACTGTAATTGGCAGGTAGCTGATGTAATAAGGAGTAACTTAGGCGGAACTTAGCACATTTATAATATAATACTTATAAATAAAACATTTTACAATAACAGTTTTTAGATTCCTAAATAAATCTAATCGGCTTATAATTTATAGAATTTTAAGTCCTGTCACAGCCTATACGTAACTGGAATGGTAAATAAAGTAAAGGTTCTATAGATATCTAATAGAATTTTGCACCTGTCACCTGTGTGACATGAGTGAGTCATGAGCAGCCACAAACACCAGCAAAAGTTTTTTTTACGCCGGTGGTGCTCCTTATGTGTAAGGAGTCCTGAGGCTTAAGTGTTACACTTAACCTGTAAATTCGCTGCCAAATCTTACATTCAAGCATGAGCAAAAGTTTACATTGTTTGGTAATATTTTGCTTAGTTAGTATAAACACATATTGTATTATATTTCCTACAAGATGTATAAGCTAATCGATGTAGAGTTTGTATAAAGTTATCTACGTGTACTAGATACCTGAATCTCTCCCACAAATTTCTACCACTAAGCAGCTGGCTTACAAAACAATACAAAGATATAACTACAATAAAATGTGAATTTGAATAGCTTTGTATTTATGCAAGCATCTAGAGCATCTTTAATTTAGCCCACCCCAAACCTCACCGCGTTCCTGTTTATGCGTACCCATATTTTTTCGCGAAATAGCTGTCTTGCCTTTGGAACAATTATCATATTATATTTCTCGGGAAGCTCTCGTATTTTGCATATAATATTTATTAGGTATTTCAAATATGATATATATTTTAAATACCTAATAGGTATGATATATGATATTTATCATTTGATGACCTCGGTCGACTAACTTTATAAAACATCATCTTCTTTACCATAGCAGTAAATTTGATGCCCGTACTATAATTCCGTATATAAAAAAATGTATTCATGAGTTTGTGTAAGTTATATATGTTTTTTATGTACGTATTTACAAAAAATAACATTTAAATTCTATCACTTCTATAGTGTCTAACAACTTCTGCTCAATTTTGTACTAAATGACACACTGGAAATATCTAGGTTATTGAAACATTTTCATTTCAATATGAACATAAATTTAGTTGTGGGCTATTTTCATTAATTAGGTATCTATTTACTACATACGTCTTGGTTAATAATTGAAATATCCCTAAATCTACTATTAAACAAAAAATGTATAGCAATTATTGAAAATATTATTATAAAATATTGGCTTTGTTATCTGCTATTTGATATTTCATACACATTCACATTGTCAACCATTTTGATTATTCACATTTGGTATGCATCGATTGTAGTATCGAGTTTTCAATGTTTCCATATATTTCATATCGTTATCTGCATGATAGATTACCCTTTTATGTTTAACAGTATCGGTTGCCCATTACCGTTTCCGCTTACGATTCTGGAAGATCTTTACAATTTATCAACCAATACATCAACTACAGTTAGGTACAAGGATGATAAACAACTGTATGGACTAATTTTTTAATGTAATCACTATCATGTACTTAAAATTTAAAAAAATCTAGATTAAAAAAAATCACGGATATCAGGATTTAAAAAATTATCTCCTGGTTTGCTTGTATAACACAATGGGAGGTCCATTGTTAATACGTAGGCTGGTGCTGGCAGGAGCCAGCCTAATTCCTTGCCATCAGATATGAAGCATAAAGCAATCATATATGGTAAAATAAAGAAATAATAAAAATAATTATCTTTAATTTGTCTCAAACAGTGTAAAAAATCTGGTTATAATAATATCAAAAGGTATTATTTGAGACAAAACAGTCTATCATAAACCATCAGTTTCTTCTTCTATATTAATTGTATTCGAATCGTTCCAGTATTTTCTTTAATAAACCGTTTGCAGTAGTTAGGTAAAAGGGGTCTGATACTAATCCTACCCAGGTTTTTAATGTAAATCTAGAGAATTTAGCATTAAGTTGTATATCCCAGTTCTTAGCGGTTTAAAACATTTTACAGACAGACTCGTCAGTGCTCTATCTGAGAGGTCTTTATTTTGCATTTTATTCTGAAAACTCCCGATGGAATTTCTCCGACTGACTGTTTTATTAAAAAGTTGTTCATTAACTATGGAAATTCTGCTTTATGGTTTTATCCTTGTCGTTTCCTCTTATTGCAAATAGGAAAGAACGGAACAGTCTCTTGTTAATAGACAATCAAATTATGTATCTTTAATTCGTTCTCTTTCGCTGAGATTTTTATAGGGAATAAGAAAAAGCTATAGACTTTTTCTTCATTACGCTAATTTCAAGTTTGTATTCTGCTTATTACACGTTATATTCTTTTAATAGAAATTTACATTGAAATATTCCTGAAATATTCTTAAGTCTAACTAAAGCTAACTGTTAATACTTATAATAATAAGTAATTTTTAATACCATTTATGATATTTATGTAATTTTTAACCATTACTTTTTAATCATGAAAATATATATTCAGATATTTTCCCTATTTAAATTGAATTATTTTTATAAACACTTTTAAAATACAAATTATTTTAGTGTTTAAAACAAATTATTTTAGTCTCTGTAACATTCCGATTATATTAATAAGTGACAAAAAAAGATTATATAAAATCTAAAAATATTTATAGCAAGTGTTAAATATTAAAGAAAATGTAAGATTAATTGATATATTATTTTAATATAACAGTCCTCTTATAGTATTTATTTCTTTAGAGATTTTGTTTGACTTAATATAAATCTTTAAACTAACAAATATTTAGCACATATGATTAAAAGCATAAAGTTAGAATTAATTTACTTTATTGAATACAGAAAAACTATTTATAGTCTTAGATCACAAGAAATATTTAATTAATTGTAATAAAGTTACTGTGAGTAACGAAAGTACGAATACGTACAGTTCACTTTTCAATTTACAAAACATATAAAAGGAAGCAATTTATTACATTTTAATATGAACAATAAATATATAATGGTAATTACTGTTTATCATTATAAAATTATTATCTTGTGCATAAAAAACTTTATTTTATTATGTTCTGATTACGTGATTGGAGATGATATAAGCTCGTCCATGCCCAATTTTAGATATATATGGTAAAAAATGAAGCAGTATTTACATTAAAATCGATTGGGAGCAAGTTAGACAGTTCTCGACCTAGCATAATAATAATTTACTGGTTCAAAGTTAAATTTACTATACCGTTGTCAGTATTTTCATTAAGTGCCCAAAACTTATAATTACGGACCTAAATTATGCCTAAAACTAAAAGATGTTATTACTGAAGTTTCATTGTTTTCAATAACCACTTTAATTGAAAAGTAATAACTAGTCTTTTATTATCAATTTTTTTTTAAGTAGTTAATATTTTGGTGTATATTAAAGTTGCAAAAACTTATTTGATAGATTTGTTTATGGTGCCAACATTCTAAGAAAAATAATGCCTAACTTTAATTTATTTATGGTAATAACGTATTTACCATAAAATAATTGAAAATCTAATACTAAGGCGTCAAATGACTGATTAGGTCATGTTTTTATGTAAACCATATAAAAAATAATATCTTTACTAATATTATAAAGAGAGGGAGGAAATTTTATTTCGAGGAAATTCAACTTCACAGCACATGACTTGAAAAATTTCTTGCACTGTTTGAATAATTAAAATTACTTAAGAATAATATTTCTTATAATATTCTCGAGTAACAAAAGCCATTTATAGCAGACTAATCTATCTACCATAGTTTAGAAGTATGTAAATGAACAGTATGTTGGTGGAGACTTGGAAAACGAACGCCTTGAAGTTCGATTTTTGAGTTGGCCACATCGCAATATATATATTTATTCTTGAACCGGATATAGTTGAGAATATCCTGTTTCTTGGTGGCGTAGTGTAGACGGAACTGGTTCTAAGCAAAATATCTATATATATCTATATGTATTTGGTATTGTCGCATACAACAATGAGTTAGAGATTGGCTAGATGTTATTGGATTGGCTATTTTATGTTAACATAAGTATATAAAAAAATCACAAAGTCTTGAGCATCCGGGTGAAGTTGAGGCGGAACAATACTTTTACCGACGTGTTTACAGTATATTGATAGATCAATCAACCTATCATTATTTTGTTTTTGATGAAACCGATGTATAATGAAAATTGTACCATTGAATAAAATCAAGTGAGTATACTTACCGTTAAGTAAATAGACGTAGCACCCACCCCAATTCGGATTCTCAATAACGAATCGCGCCCTATTTTAGCGGGCTTGTGTTATCAATAGAAACCCTTAAGTGGCCACTTTGGTGGTGTAACGATCGCTATCAGGGAAGCTAATCATAAATATAGACTCTCCGGTGCCCATAACATCGTATTTTATGTTCATCTTGAATAAACATGGGTACTATTTATTAGACAATACGGGATTGTTTGAGGAGTAAATTTTAGGAAGATCATTTTTAGGATCCTGGGATTTTTGTAGATTTTGATTTACCTAGTATAAAACTCTGGTATAAAGTACTTTCATGGCATATCATCATAGGCATCACGTCATATTCTAAGGACCTATAAATATTTTAGTGCAGCTATAGAATATACGTCTATATGTTTACTAATAGGTAGTGCTTTATTACCTTATGTTACTTACCATATCTATGACATAAATGGGAATAGTTAAAGATGGTAAACTTCATAACCACACAGATATAGGACCGTACAATTACAACAACATTTGTACAGATTATCTAGAGAAAAATTATATTTAATTAAGATAACTTTATATGTATTACCTAATTTTGTTCTTAAATTGATCTCATAAAGACAGACTAAGAACGATTCTTAAATGTTTTAGATAGAGTTAACGCATAATGAATTAATATACTATTCTGGCTATTAGTCACAACAGAAAAATGATAATTAAAACTTACTCTCCTACCTAAAATCTTCGAACTATATTTAATGTAAGTATATATAGAATCAGGACACTATATAACACTAAGCAAATAAAATTTACAATACCGCCCCTAACCCGTTATAAAGGCTGCAAGATTTACGTCAAGCCCATAGACTTTTATTCCAAGGATTGTAGCCTTAGAACTGTTTTCTGAGCTCCACGATATAGGACATTAAACGAAAATCTCTCTGAAATGTCTATTTAAATGTAAAACGTGAAATGTGACCGTTTTCCTTTTGAAAATACGTTTTGGTTTTAAATATGTAATAGTTTTATTTAAATGAAATGTTAAGAATGAAATATTACTAGTTAAATATTTATATTTCTCGTTATTCATATTATAAAAGTATACATTTATACTCGTTCATTTTATAGAATAATATGCCATTTCTATTCTTTACTTTTTGTATATATTTTTTAAGTCTGGGGGCGGTATCAGTTAAGAATCACTGATAAGAAACCTATTTCTAATTGGTAATTTATTTCTGAGCAAAATTTCAATGAATATCTTATTAATATTATAATTGCGAAGGTTTGTTGTTGAGTATGGACGGATGTTTGTTACGATTTTACGCAAAAACTATTGAATGGATTTTGATGAAACTTTACAATAATATAGCTTATAGATACATCAAAATGAGATAAGCGGGTGAAACCGCGAGTACAGATAGTGTCTAATACATTGAAAAGTAACGTATTAATCAGCATATTGTAAATTAACCTACTAATATATTATAACTACGATGGTGTCAACATTTTTATCTATAATCAATATTTTAAGACATCTTCAGACAAAATTAATAATACAAACAATCATATATATATATATAAAGTATAAAGATTAGATTATTTGTTAACGGAAGAACTTAAAGAATAAAATTTTTTGGTAAATGATATTTTTCTTCTGTAGCAAGCTTATTATTAGCAAATAACATAGACTGTATCTTCCGTTAGCAGTGTGGCAATATAGTCGTTATTATTTCTAGTAATGCAGAATAGCTATAAATATATGATCCTTACCGTTCTGTTCTGAAGGTTCTTGACTCTACACAATAATCTAACTGGATGTCCCACTAAGCCCGTTATGTTTTTCGGTGTTGTTGAATCGAAGTACGGCGCGTCAGCTGATCCCTGCCATTCTTGAAGAAATTCCGCTTTAAATCGACGAGATGATATATCCATAGTTGTAGTGTCGAATGGTGCCTCTGTGCCGGAGCCAGCTAAAAAAAGTATAATATTGTTATTTCATATAGTTCCAATGTTGTTATTATTATATTGACTAAACTTAAAGGAGTTAAGTTTTAGATGTTCTTACTAATTCACAAATGAAAAACTGACTTTGTTAATTACTACATTATTTGCGCTCTGATGGCTCAAATTATTACTATCGTCATAATATTTGGTATGTATATAATATTAAAGATTCGTTGACGGCCTCAGTGGTCTAGAGGTTTAACCCACCGCCTTGTTAGCGATGATTGCTAGTTAAATTCTCGTTGATTTTTCCATAATACAAATATTTATATTCTGTGTTGCATCAGTTGTGTTATTTGTATTAATATGAATATTATCTATATTTAGTACATGTTTACAAAAAATGTAATTATTCTAGTCTTAAGTTGTTTACCGGTTACCGTATTAATTTTACCGGGTTCTTATTATTCCACTCAATAAACAAAGTCGCGAGTAAAAACTATATCTAATGTAAATGTTAGTAAGTACACATTAATACGCTAATCAAATTATGTACAGTCTATGCCCGATTAGGATTTAATTTTCTTGTAAAAAAACGCATACTAAGTAATAAGTGAAGGGACTATTGAAAATACAACGATCAAGGAAATAAAAACATTCCTTTCATAACTGAATGAATGGAGAATATTTGCATCTTAAGTGTGGAAAAACACATTTCGAATTGAAGCCTGATTTCAAATCGGAATATTCATTTCTACTTATTCTTTGCAAAATGAAGGTTCGCGAATTACGGTATTCATACTTCAGTACGATCTTTTAGAATTAATATCCACGAGGGACCCCACTTTTTAAGAGACAAAGCGTAAAAGATTTCTCTCGGTTATTCCTCATTCATACATCTTATAACATCCTGGGCCTATTCATTCAGAGTCAGCGGACCGAAAGAGAATAAATATTTTCACAACAAGCAAGCAATGAATGTACTGATTCTATGATTTATGGGGAGATGTCATTTTACTGTAGATAATTGCGCTTGGCAAAGTATCCTGTTGATATAATTTTTCTAGATGTTTTCATTCACAAATGAATTTTTAAGAAATAAATATATAATAAAGTAGTAAATCTATACATATAAATAAAATTGGAGTGTCTGTTTGTAATATTGAAATAACCACTTTTTAATACATCCATATGAATATAAATACGGTACATTTACCAAAATAACATTTTTACAATTTTTGCCTGCCTGTCTGTCTGTTTGTTAGGACTAATCTCTGAAATGGCTGGACCGATTTTGACGGGACTTTTTTTGGCAGGTAGTTGATCTAATAAGAAGTAACTAAGGCTTCTTTTTTTTAACTTCCACGCGGACGAAGTCGCGAGTACAGATAGTTATAAATATAAAAGTAGGAAATGTAATTAAAAAACTAATAGCTTGACGACCCACTTGATTGAAAATGCAATTCATATCACCGCCAAAATGTTGCGAATACCATATATTTATTAAATAACTATAAAACAAGATTTTAAATTCATATTCATAAATGAATATTTTTTTTTTGAGATTTTTTGACAATAAATATTAATAATAAAGTTTAAATGGATTTCGCCTGTACTTTATAAATTACATATAGTATTTAATTAAGTAACCTAAGTCACATAAGTGCAAATATGAACAACTACCGTGTGACGAATCAAATTCGCGATCATTGGTATGTGTATTGAAAATCTAAAATTATGATAATAATAAACCTTATGATGAATAGAATAAAGAAAAGAATGAGAATGGTGATTTACACAAATATATATTGACTATCAGTGGAGAGTCTCCCATTCCGATATTGTACATCAAGTAGTCGTTAAATCAAGTCGAATGTATATGAACATAATAGTACATTTGAGATTACAGTCGTGAGCAGTTTTTTCGATTGCCATGAAAGGGATGAGTAATATTCCTTGGGTATAATTACGTACCTAGGTTTATGTCTTTCACTGCGTAACATAGATAGATTGTCAAGTTATAATAAAGGACTCAAAATGCTTAATTTTCAATGTTCGTGATGTGCTTTTTTTTTTTACTTCTGCACAATTTCTCAAATGCGAGGCTAAATACAGAAAAGTCTATTTTACATTTACATTTTATTCTCCAACTCAAGGAGAGACATACTTCATTGTGATTGCCTGAGTTACTAGATAATCTTTTTTAATCTTTTTGGTTTTTTAGCCTTTTATTTATATAAATCTAATAATTATAAAATTTGAAATTTAAAGTAATCCATGAATAAATTATCTCCAATATATTCTAGCTCATCTTTATCCATATATTTTAGGACGTACAATGTTACGAACAGATATACTAAAACACACGTCTTTTTATTTCTTTTTGCACTTGGTGTTAAAAACATGGTAATCATTAATGTTTACAAAGCAAATTTAATCGAAAAATAAGTATTTATTAAAAAATAAACTAGTAAGTGAAAGAGCAGTCTCATATAAAGAAATATTTATCTCGACATCCCTCAGTTACCCTTTTATATATTTCGCATCTGTGACATTTTTATTCAGAACTCTCGCTTAAAGACCGTTTATGTCGCAAAGCGTAAAACAGGGTAGATCTACCGGAAATCGGGCTGTCTTTTGGATTGATTTCGCATCTTTCCCTCTGCGAATGTTCAAAGCTTTTTAGCTAAGTTAGATTATTGTTGCTGTATTTTCTGGATATATACAACATTTTATTTTCTAAAAACATTCAATGTTTATCAATATTAATATTGTAAAGCAGAAATATTTTATTTATTATAGATTTCTAATGTTAAAACTAAAAAATATTGGAGACTAAAAAAATATTTCACCCACAATTAGCTAGTTCATCAGAAAGCAACTAAGGATGCATTCCACGGGAGCACGGGATACAGCTAGTTTATAATAAAGTAAATTAAGCTAGCTAGGTTAGCTAGTTTATATTAAAGTTTTGAATTAAAACCTTATATTATATATTTCAAAGTAATCTATCTAGTGTGATAGGTGGTCACAGATGACGTCATAATGATGAAGTACTTAACAGTATAGAAGAAGAAGGTATGTATTGTAGTATCTTTTCATTAGATTTATAGAATCTTACGACGTAAAGACTACAAACTGTGACTGAAACCTGAAACAATGACTTATTACGCCTCACCATGAACCTATTTCTTTTATTCCCACATAAAGTATAAATTCAAATTCAAATTCAAAAATCATTTATTCATGTAGGACATTTTAGCCGCTTATGAACGTCAAATTTTTACATTATAATTTTATTTTTTTCCCTACCGTCCAGTTCGGTATATAGATCCAATTGAGAAGAACTGGCAAGAAACTCAATTGAATTACTTTTTTTTAAGTTTATTTACAATGTATATTTATATAGGTGTCTATGTCTAACATTAAATGAACAACTATTGCCATGCACACTCGTCATTCAAGTAATCGTTTAGTGAGTAATAGGCTTTGCTCAGTAAATATGATTTAACAGATGTTTTGAATTTATTTAAGGGTAATTCCAACATATCCTTTGGTATCTTATTGTAAATTTTTATACCTATTCCCATAAAAGACCTATTAACTTTTTCTAAACGATGCTTGGGGACAGCAAGTTTGTCTTTAAATCTTGTATTAATATTATGAATATTGCTGTTTTTTGGAAATAAGTCAAGATTTTTATGAACATATAGGATATTTGAATATATAAATTGAGAAGCAACGGTGAGAATATTTGCCTCTTTGAATTTCTCTCTTAATGAGTCACGACTCTTCATACAGTAGATCGCTCGAACGGCACGTTTTTGTAATATGAATATATTTTTAATATCTGCCGCTTTTCCCCATAGTAATATTCCATAAGAGAGTAAACTATGAAAATAACTAAAATAGACTAATCTAGCAGTATCAGTATCAGTGTACTGTCTAACCTTACGCACGGCAAAAGCTGCTGAACTTAGTTTCGCTGCAAGGCTTTGAATTTGTGCACCCCATTGTGTTTTATTATCTAGTGTGATTCCTAGAAAGACAGTAGTTTCTATGAATTCCAGAGATTCGTCATTTAATTTAATATTGCAATTAGTATTAAAACTTTTAGACAGAGAGAAATTAACACATTTTGTTTTTTTAGCGTTTAACATAAGATTGTTAGTTGTAAACCAGTGCAGGAGACGCCGCAAAGCACTATTTACATCGTCATAATTATTAGTCATTCTATTAACTTTAAAAATCAATGAAGTATCGTCTGCAAATAATACTATGCCGCATCTATCCTGCATGGCATATGGGAGATCATTAATAAATATAAAAATGGACCGAGAATAGATCCTTGTACACCCATTTGCACAAGTGACCCGTCAGACGTAGCGTTGCTAACCTTCACTTTCTGTATTCTATCAGATAGATAAGATTTTATTAAATTTAAAGCATTGTCTTTGACGCCATAAAAAGCAAGTTTTTTTAGCAATGTATTATGATCAACGCAATCAAAAGCCTTAGAAAGGTCACAAAAAACACCTATCGCATCCATTTTAGTTTCCCATGCAGCAAATACGTGTCTAAGCAACTCTGCACCTGCGTCTGTAGTTGAACGACCTTTGGAAAAACCGAATTGACTATTGTGGATTAAATTATTTAAATTGAAATAACTGACAAGCTGCATAAGGATTATTTTTTCAAAAATTTTACTGAGTGCTGGGAGTATAGATATAGGTCTATAATTTATTGGGTCACTCTTATCTCCAGATTTAAAAAGCGGTATGATTTTACTAATTTTCATTATGTTAGGAAATTTACCTTCATCTATACATTTATTGAAAATAAAAGCAAGAGAGGGCGCAATAATTTCCATTATACTATCTAGTATTTTAACAGATATACCCCATAGATCCTCTGTTTTTTTATTATAGCTGTTTGAATATTTTCATTATTTCTACTGATGATGTATGTCTAAAGTTAAATACAGCTGATGACTTGCTAACATTGTCTGTTAGTAAAGTTTCAGCAGCAGACGGGGAAGATTTTAGAGCCTGTGTCGTAATTAATGGAATATTAGTGAAATAAGATTCGAATGTATCCGCGACCTCTGTGTCGGAATTTACCAATTTGTTATTAATATATATACTATTTTGAAAATTAACTTTTCCAGTTTCTGTATAGTCTGTACTATCATAGCCACATATTTATCAGACATCAACTTAATTTCAATCTTACTTTCATCTCGTTCCTGTAATAAGGCCTTATTTAATTCATTGGATTTTTTTAACTCTAAGAGCGTCACCTTGAGCTTAGCATCAAGATCACATGCTCTGCGGGACATCATTTTTAATTATTATGTTAAATATCTACGAAACAAGACAACAATGAATATTATTCAATAGAAGAAATACAGTGTTGAAAGTGCGCTATTTCCCTTCAATAAAATAATTTAATAATAAATAAATAAATAAATATTGTTAGTAAAAACTTTAAATACCAATACTGTTACAAAAAAATAATTAATCTTATATATTACCACTACAGTAAATATGTCTTAATTTGTCATATGATATCTAGCAATGGCTATGGATTACTAATATTGTATTGTTATTTAATCAAATACATAAGTTTAGTTTCGCACAGCTATTTGGAATATATTATCAATATGATAATAAATAAATTTTATGAGCTGTATTGCAATAACAATAATATTTTATGTTAGTGGGTAGTTTTTTTTTTTTCCTCTCAACAACAACAACCGATCTTCACTATCGAATATTTAACTTTAATATTATTGTTTATTTGTAAACGGATATAGTAATAGTGAAGTGTAATAACTGTATTTAATTATTAAAAGTCAATAGAAATCCAAGACTTCTATAAATTATACTTTGACAGTTGGCGGTCCCACAAATTTTGCAACGTAGATTTTTGTCACAAAGAAATCACAGATTTGCACACCAACAATAATCGACGTTACTTATGCCCAAAACTCACTGATTATATACACTAGTATCGTTATTTCACAAGTAATAAATTAAAAACAATAAATAAATAAGAGCCAACTGACAAAGACTGTTATCGGCAGTGTTGCCAGAGAGAAAAAAAGATGTATGTAAAAAGATGTATGTATGATATATGCTCAGTATCAACAAGCTCAGAGTCACTCAGAGGGCAATGGAGAGATAGTTTCTCTGCGTGATCGAATCAGAAATGAGGAGAATGACCGACATAGCCCGAAGAATTGCGACTTTGAAGTGGCAATGGGCACATAGCTCGTAGGACAGATGGCCGTTGGGGCAGTAAAGTCTTCGAGTGGCGACCACGGACCGGAAGACGCAGCGTGGGAAGGCCTCCAGCAATGGACCGACGATCTGGTCAAGATCGCTGGAAGGCATTGGATGCGAGCAGCGCAGGACCGATCGTCGTGGAGATCTTTGGGGAGGCCTATGTCCAGCAGTGGACGTCTTCCGGGCTGCGATGATGATGATGATGATGAAAGTATATGCAAAAATGGTCACCATACTCAATCAAGTAACATAACTTATCTATTCAAACTATATAAAAAAGTCCATTACACGAATAAAACTGAGATTCATTTTGTATTATCAGCCCAGTTTAATAGACCACTCGCCCTGGCCTTGTGACCGTGATATTAATGGACATTTTCATCGGTAGGCTATACAATAAGAGACCTTTAAAGTACCCAGGTCTAAGGTTGATCCTGAAACCCTCGTATACATATCGCATATCAAAATATCTAAGTAAGGCTAAAATACATTTAGTGAATACTAGAAGTCCATATCTGTAATATGAAGAATTTTCCTCGTCTCGAACATATGTATATTGCGTATATATTAAAAATGTAACTGATTGTTGTCTGTACATGAAATATATATGAGAAAAACTAATATTGGAAGGCTTAACAACGTAATAGAACCCAAAACAATTATGTAATAAGTTTTGTTTTATGTATATTCATATGTTTATTCCACAAAGCCTTAACTATTTTAGATGTGGTTTTTTCTTATATACTGTGATAAACTGCACTTAAAATGTTGTTTTATTCTAGTCAATTTAAAAATAAAACAGTTATTATATATACTATACGTATATTATATACATATATTATAAAATAGTTACGAAGTCGCGGGTTTAGCTAGTATTGCATATCTTGATAGGAACTTTTATAAATAGATTCCGCTTCCGTTTCGACCTTGCAATAACAGAATATTACAGTCTCGTGTTGTTTTTGCTTTCTGGAAATATAAGGTTTTCTCAAAATATCGCTCTTATTTGACAAGATTTCTTAAAAACATGTGTATATAATAAATGAAAATATGTATAAAAGAAATACACATAAAGATATTCCAACACTACTCTAAATTTATTATGGAGTAAACAGACTATATACATTCAATACGTATTCACTTTGATGAAATACTACAATTAGAACTTTAAAACCTATGACATGTTGTATTTTAATTTATATGAGAGTAAAATATTTTATTTAATACCTTACCTATTTTATTTAATAAGCTAATACGGTGATTGATCGATAGATCAAGCTGGACTGACGTGACAGGAGTTTAGAGGTTAGAGCGATCTTTATGGAACATAAATATTATGGATATAAAAGTAATAATAAAGTTGATACAAATACATCCTTTAAAAATCTCATCAGCTCTGCAGCTTTGAGGCTATATCTAATTGAGCCTAACTTCGCTTAAACTGATTCTATTTCATAATTAAAGCCTCCTCTACATATGCCATAATCTTATCACCTAAACTAGAAAAAAAAACCAATATAATAAAAAACCAATGTAATATTATGTTATCTGTGGTATTACTTAAAAAATCTTAAGTGGGCACCCAAGTCTCACTTATTTCAGCCGTTAGCACCATAATACATCTTACAAAACAAGCTGCTGTTTTGTAAGCTATAGTGCTTCGGTTATAGAGTGTGATTAAGGATTAAAATTATAGGATAAGAGGCATAAGATCTTAATCTGTTATGGAATAGCAACGTATACTAGATATTACGGCTATAAGTTTAATTAATATTCCAATTCCATAAAAATGCATCAAGCTATTAGCAAAAGCTTTCTTGAGAATCAACATTGAATTTATTCTTACATTGTATAGCTAACTAAAGTAATAAAAAGTAAAAGTATATATATGTATAATTTTTAATACAGAAAATATTATTTTACGCAATAATTGCGTGAAGTTCATAACCTCTAAATATGCAAAAACAACATTTTAAAGGAAAATATTGAAAAACTCTCTTGAAATAATCTATAAACGTACTCACCTATAAGAAAAAAGAACCCATGTAGAAGAGATAGCAATAACGCAGCATTCACACCGTAAACCGCTCGCCCCATCCTCTTCTCTGAACCGCTGAAAAATAGGATAATGGTTAAGGAAATAAAGAGTCAGATCGGCAAGTAGAATATGAAACAATATTGCAGAATTCTGCAAATTCAATAGAATTTGCAATATCATTTGAGTCACGTCGAACTTTAAGAAATAAGTATAAAACAATAAATTCTTTATAATATGTTTCTTTTTATTATTTATAATAATTTTTTATTTATTTATTTATAAACTTTCGTGCTACATTTTGACATAAAATAAGCTTAGTATGCCAGTGTATCAAGTCTACCAGTGGTCGTGGTAAATTGGTCGTGATATCTATGTAGAAAAGGACTAAGAAAGTAGGTCAACAAATTTGTCTTTATTTCACCAGTAATAAATAATTCTTTACATCCACCACCATCCCCAGTCAGCCGATCGTTTGTAACAGCGTCGAAATTTCAGAGCTTATAAATAATCATGGTAACTTAACTGACGTGAAAAAATATAAACATAATACAAATTATACAACTAATCTAGAAATATATATTTAGTGTAAACGAAATATTATCGATATTAGTATCAAAGTATGTCGATATATTTCTGTTAAGTAATCTATCACTCTGCATGTTAATATAGACAGGAGTTTTTATGATAAAAATTTCCCTGGACATTTCACTCAGCGCCATTTAGTCCCAAGCTAAACAGAGCTTGTGCCATAGATATTAAACAACATATATAAATACATTAGTATATATAATAAAAAAATATAAAAACGTTTACATTTTTTGTAAATACACACATAATTTATATAGAAAACATCACATGATACAAACGATCATAGTCATGAATACAAAATATTAGTACCGTGCAAGGAATCGAACCGCGACCGTCAACTATTGTTAGATAATTTATTATTAATAATATTTAAAAGTATTTATTCCGGAATAATAATGAATAATGGAAGAATATTATCGAAAAATGTATTATATAAAGTTAGAGCTAATTTATAATAAGTTTATATCTTAAAACTATTAATATTATATTGCTTGTACATATTATTTAGAGACAGATATATTTATAAAAGAAGGCAAGGCTTCTTTGAAAACGGACCTTACAAAAATCAATTATTCACTTTTTAGGCCTAATTGAGATAAAGTTAAAGGCTCACCAGCGATATAATACAAAAATTAAGAAAATAAAGAAAAATATATTGTATTATACCTTTATTGTAGACATTATCAGGTTGTAACATTAAAATAAACTGGAATGTTTTATTACTAAAGTAATCTAAAAAAGGACTCCTATTTAGATTTTATCCTATTCTTAGGTATATTACTGAGACATGCATTAGGGTATAGAATTATTCACAGAGGCTTTTGTATCTGTAATCAAATAAATCATATAAAGGTCTATCAATCACATTAAAACGGATACAAACAAGATGAGAAGGGATGTCATCCTGACAAGGGCATCCTGAGGAATTCCAATTTAGGGAATTAAAAGTTAATTTGATTTGTCTCGTCTGATGCTGGAGAAGAGGGGTATGTGCACAATATTCACTTATGTGACACGCCTTCGTGTCAAAATCTCTTTACTTCATAAAAGACGTTCAGTAATTTGTTGAATTTATTTTGCGTTATATTCTTTCTTATAGTAGTTATAAGAGAATATAAGATTAAAAGTATACGAAATATAATGGCTTTGTTCTGTTTTCCTTTGAGTAAAATAAGTTTTAAAAATAAACTTACCTACATAGTAGCGTTAAAAACTCAGAAGTTTGAATAAGAAAAAAAATTGGTAAAATAAATCAATTGTTACCTATGTTGTCTTGTCCCTCACGGGTCTAGGTAGAGAACTTTGAAAAAGGGCGAGCACAATAGATCTATGTAGACTACGGCCTACAACATACTACGACGTTGCACCTGACGATGGCCCAAGACTCCAATAAAATAAAATAATATGTTGTTATTATTAGACAGATAATCTTATTTTCCATCGTAAAATCTGTATTATTATAATACAGATAAATACTAGTAAAGTATTTATACAAATAAACATCAGTTTAAAAAACATTTATTTTATTTACTTTGCTTATTGTACAATATTTTAATTCGTACCTACTAGTTGCTGGTCACTTAGCATATTATGCGTACTATTTTATCATGTATAAATTTATATATTAAGAAAATAAGTCATAAAATGTCCATAAAATAGAAATGTATTCCATTTCAAATATAGGTTAATACGATCACAGCTCCAGCAGATGTCTTTAGGAGCGATTCAATATTTACATATGTTGATATTCTCTCGGGGCTTGAATAATCTAAAGCGAGTCATGTAAAGATATGTCGAGTAGTTGAACGTAAAATACATTAAAAGTTCAAACGTTTAGTATTGACAAAAGAAAGCTCCAGAGGTCGTCGTCAATCTACTGTTATCTCAAAACCTTCCAGTTTATGTTGTCTATTCCTCTTCGGTACCCTTAGCTATGACAGAAATATTGGTATAAAGTACGAGTAAATAGTATTAAAATCGAATAAGTTCATTTATAATGTATGTATATATCTACGATATGTTGCCTATTACGTCCGTTAAGTAGCATACTTTGTAAGATATGTTTCGGTTTAAGGGCGATATAAAACACTGAAATTTCTGGATATAGAATTGAGCCATCATAACATCATTTGTATGTAAGATATGTTATAGTATTGTATTGCTAATAAATTAAAAAAAAGAATAATATCAATATTCAAGTACGTCAAGTTATATTATTCGAACAGTTGGTATATATCAATCTGTAATAGATATCTGTATATGATGCAAATTTTGTTACAAGTATTTTTTTTAATAATAACTAAATTTTTTATAAATTTTATCAATGTACATAGAGTATATTATAGAAAAATACATTCCTGTACACAGTTATAAAATGTAAGGAACCATGTTAAAAAATAAGGTATTCCTTTAAAACGGCACGTAAAACTTACTAGATAATGCGTACAAAGTGTCACGAATTTCCGATAATAATGTATAGGGTAACCAACAAAGAGCAACTACGTATAACCCAAAGACATTCTTTTACGTCGGCCATAAACAAAATTGCCCTGTAAGGGGTAACGAAAGGAGATCGTAAATTTAGTGTTAAATAAACATCACGAAACTAAAATAAAGTACTGGAACTATAAGCCGTAAAATCTTAATATAGTTTCATAGTTTTGTTTGTACTATGTATGTAATTAAAAGCTCGCCTTAAAGTTTCATAATTATTATAGAAAATTTTATGTAACGATTAAAATATATTATAAATAAAATAAACATAATTCTCAATTATTTTGTATTTATGTATGTATGTCTGTCAATAAAATATAATAGAATATCCTTCATTCAAATAAACTTAATTTAAGCACTTTTGATGTTTTTTAGTGTATTCCGGAAAGATTTCTCATCACAAAAACAACGAGAAAGAAACTTATGTATTACTCTTTTAAGTAATCGTTGTAATTTTACATTTTTAAGTTGAAATGTATGAATGCAAACTACCAACTAGCAGTAATTTATTAGGGTCAAAATACACAATAAGATTAAATCAGTCATAGTGATTAGAGCAGACCAGTCCCTAACGCACTCGTTTACGAGTATGACGGAGGAGCCAGCCATCACTGCATTCGACCATATTTTAGGGAGCCAAAATATGAACTAAGTCAATGATAATAGTAACAGTCCATATCACAGTAAACAGTTACCGTAGGTACCTGAAACACAATATGATGGGAATAGCGCTTGCTCTTATGGACCGCTGGGTACGGGCCTTGAGCAAAACGTCTTTACCCGTGCGTATTGCTGGGCTGAACCAGCCGGTCGTTCATTGTCGCCTTACGGCGAAGCCGACTACAGTTATACAACTGAGGGAATCAAAATAACGAAAAAGGGTAATTAATGTCGTTCGCTGGGTTGCTTTTGACCGTCCCCTGTTGATAATAACGTGACTCCACGCTGGAGAGTATATTGCGCGGGATGGTGTGGACACAAGAGGAGTCACGTGTGCATTTACGACTCCTAAGAAGCTTTAATATATCCTTCTTGAAATCCCTATGCTCTAGAGAAAATCTCGGCAAGTTCTCGTTGATTCTACAAATTAAATGTGTGGAAGGAAACTCGTCACTAACTACGACTCTGATGAATTGGGTTGTAAGGTGTACAGATGAATACTTTATCGATGACAGGTAGCGCAATGGTAGAAAGTAATTGCAGATATCATGTCAAATAAGTTCTTAAGCTATAATCCGTTGAATATTTGGTAGAATACACAGAACGAGGCAAAGTCTCGCCTCAAACTAAGTAGCTCCATATCGCTTTAAAGATCGAGATCATCGACAATTCTGTCAATAATCCATACTGGCTGTTAACCGTAACTTTGTCTTCTTTTTTTTAGATGTCTGTTAGCTTATGTTCTTCCTCATGATGATAATCGGAATCTATCTTGAGGCCAATTTTTATAAAATGTACATTAAGTCGTTTAGTTTTTAATCCACTTTTCAGTTCACAATTATCAGATTACAAAATAATTAATATATATATTGTTATAATAAAAAGATTACTTGTAATAAATTATCTACTTAATGATGATTTAATTATTCAGTGCTATATTATTACATTACACTTTATTTACTTCTATATATTGAAAACTCCTTGTTTATAAATTCGTTTAAAAGTACCCTAAAGATAAAGTTAACAAAGCATGCCAGACACGTTAATCTTCCTAATAGTACTATAAGGATTTGTGATCCAGGTAATTGTGTGAACATGACGGACACACAAACTTTTCTGTTAGTACGATTTTCTCGCCGGACTTTCCTAATAAAGACCGAAACTTCGATAATATAGCTGGGGAATCTTTTAAGACTTTTCCTTAGGGCTGTCAACATTCCAGTTTGTCCGAATTTATTAGATGGCCTTTATTTGTTTTCTTATTAAGTTCGTTCTCGTTAAGTCACCTTCGTAAATCTCGCGGTGTGCCGGATGTGTAGGAAAACGTATGTATA